GGGGGGGGGGGTCGCCGACACCCTTGCAGCAGCTAGATGTCGAACCCCGGAGGGCCTACGCAGCACAACAAAGTACCCAAGTGCGGCAAGGGCACCCCTCTCCCCTCCGCCGCCGTCCCCGCCTTGAACTTGTCCTCGTATCGCAGCGCACAGTGCCGCGGCGCTCTGAGCGCGGCTCTCCCCGATCACCGCGGCCGCGGGATGAGGATCACGTTTGTGGCGACGCGGAGGCGCCGCGCCGATCCAAAGCAGACTGTGGCGGCGGCCAGAGGAGCAGGCAAAGTTCTTGATCACATCGGGGACGTTCAGCGAATACCGGGCTCTGCTTTTACAAGATACCCCCCACTCAAAACGACAACATACAACTGTTATAATTTTGGTCATTTTGGCCAATTATTTGTTGCTATTTTTGGCATCGATTTTTGACTCACTGATGTACCGCACGCTTTAATCCAGAGGGCTATTTTTAACTTTCAACAAATCCACAGTTTGGATTTGTGGAGACCCTGTGGTCTCTACAGCACCGCCGGAAAGGTAGGGAATTTGTGCCGTAGAAACCCCTAACTGTAGGCAACCGACAGTGCACCGCCACCCCCAGTCAGATCCGCGCCTGGGTCGATCCCGCCCGAAAGTCGGATTTCTAGTTTTTAACTAGACTGCAGGTATTCGCTGAACTTCAGACACAACAGAAACAATCCAAATCCCCCAAATCCAAAGATTGGTCGTGAGCTTCCCGCTAGCTTCTTATGGTCATGCGGGTAGTGGGGTAAAGGCTCAGCCTCGGTTCAGCCAATCAAGGAACCAAACCAATGTTCAAACCGCTTTTCTTCTTCCGCTGTTAGCTGAGGTTCACTATAGATAAATCTGGCCCATCTACCTCCCCCCTAAACCTCGCGTCGTTCGTCGCATCTGTGTCGTTGTTGTTTCAGAATGGGGATGGATGGACATCTCGTGCAAAATTAAGGGCCGGCAAGAGCAATCGTCAATACAATATCGCCATGGCTCACGTATATCTCTCCTTTGCGTGTACAAATCATTTGAGAATGAGGTCAAATTTCTTTACATGTCGCGTGCTCGTAATTACCCTACAAGTAGTTCACGGCCCACCTTCTCATGCCTCCCGGGTCACGTCAGGTGCTTCCGTCATACTTCACGGCGGGGGAATAAGGTCGCTAGGAAGGAAAAGGGTGCGGTTGTGAGCTTCAATTTTACACACGAGGACTTCAATTCGGTCAATACGGTGCACGCGCCGGTGCGAGCGGCTTTGCCAACTCACGGGGGGCCTTTGGCGTCTTGCATGCGGGCAGGAGTATAGACAAACCCACCGAAACCGGCGCGTACAACGACACATCGCGTACATTATTCAGTAAAGCCAATTTTAGCCATTACAGGAAAATGAAAAGTATCAGCAAATTAACCATCGTATGGTTGATACACCTAATGCTGTTGTTGCCGCATCCATAGTTTATGGTTGTCCCTGAAGTAACCATTTGATGGTTGCTACAGCTTTCCATTTTCCTGGGTACACATTGCCTAGCTACTGTCGCAAACGACAATTTCACATTTCCAACCTATCGTCGCGGCCCGCGACGAACTTCTCGGTCTCGGCTCGGACTTCCCCTTGTTGGGGCGAGGCGGGCGGGACCCTCGAGACTCGAGGGACGACCCCCCCCCCCCCCCCCCCCCAATCACCAATTACAGTGCGATTCAGATTGGAGTGTTCTGTGCTGGTGCAAAGTAGTCAGCTTGTTTTCCCCTAAAGTTACAGTTTTATAATGAATTCTAGATTTTTTGTTTCACGATGTCTGCGACAGCTGCAACTTACATCGTATTTACGGAATACAGTACCTTGCAATCTGAGAATGATCAGTTTTATTCCAGTTACATGCGATAAGCACGTTGTTTCGATCCCAAAGATACAGACACATAACCTCGAAACACGTCGATACAAATCTAAAAAGAAGGGTAAAAAGGTAAGTAGACGATAACAGATATTCCTCAAGAAATTTCATTAACTGCAAAGAGTTTAAATGAAAAACACGACATACTATCATTGAAATTGAATTATAGCTTAGTACGACAGTTTAACTATGGTTATGCCACTCCACTCTCTAAAGATGATAATAAAATTAATAACTAATAATTTTCTTGTTTAAGAAACATAATTAATAAAAAACATAAATAATTACAGGCTCAAGAGGCAGAAGATCCTGATGATGAGAATAAAGAAGCAGAGGAAGAAGATGACATGGAAGAAGGCGATGCATTGCCTGGTGAGCAGGAGAAGATTCTTAAGCTTAGTCAAGTTCGAGTAGACAAACTGTTAAGGCTGGCCGTAAATTCATCACGGTAAGTGAGCTGATTCCATGTTCTATCTCTCTTGCAAGTATACTTACTGTGCGTTGCCTTCCTTATGTTACATTTAACATTTACTTTTCTCTTCTATTTCAGCATTGTGGAAGAAGCTTATGTTGAGGGGAGACTACGTAAAAATGATGAGAAAGTTATTAAAAAGAGTGCTCCTGTAAGTTACCTGAAGTTTATTGTGTATTTATACAACTTTTTACATTCCTGAATTGTGCACTGATTTTACTTCATTTCTAATTGTTTAGGTTCAGCAAGGTGACATTTTGGATATTGAGATAGGTCCTGATACCAAAAATCCTGACTTCCTCAAAGTACATAGAATAGAAATCTTGGAAATAAAAGAAGGCGTTCACAGCATGGTGAGAGTACTTATTTGCAAGAATTTGACTATCAAGGCATATGATAGCTAGCTGTTGGTGAAGTTACTGTAACTTAGCATATTTTCCTGAAATAAAATGAATTGAGTTATGGAGAGACTGTACCATAACACTGCAAAATAAAAACCTTGTCAAGAAGAAAGCATTTCTCCATTGTGAGTCTTTATTTATTGCCTGTGAGGACAGAAAAGTACAGGTGATAGTCATCCAAGGGATTCTTCAAACAGTTAAAATTGCACGTTTTGTGGGTCCTCTTCTCTTTTTGCCCCTCTGTTTCCTCTGAGCAGCAGCTTCAGTAAATAAGGCTACTCCCTCTCTGGCTTCAATTTCATGTTGTAGGAATAAAAAGCCATGAAGATTGACACCAACCAAGTCCTGAAAAAAAATCCCCAGGTGTAGTACAGAGAAACCTGGTTAGTAGAATTTCCTCCTTATAAAGTAAATTTTTGGATGACTCAAGTCAAATTTTGCAGATGAGTACACCTGAATTTAAAGTATACCTGGATATAATACACTGAGACCTCGGTCTTGGGCAATTCTAACTATCCAGGTTACACATTACAAAGCTTATCAATCTGAGTAAAATTATTCATTTATGTATAATAGCTTACCCTTAGTTCACATATTTTAGTGGCAGCAAGACTATGCAGCTGACGAATTGTTGGTAAAAGAGTGGCAGTGCTCATTATGGGTCCATGATGCACCCGCACAAGAAACAAAGCAGCACGACACACAACTTCTGTATGTGGTTGCTGCGGTAGTTCCAATAACGAGATAAGCTGAGGCAATAACTTCAATACACTAGCAAATGGCAGACGCAGTAAAGCTTCCTCTAATTCACTGAAAAGGAAAGGAAAAAAATTAGACTTGAATCTAGTTACAAAATTTACAATCAAGACAACTCTACAGACCTTGATTTAATTCTGGCAAGAATTTCCTGCAGAAACTCAGCAGGAGTGGATGCACGATAAGCAACCATGATGGCAGGTGGTGGTGGTACAGCAGTTGCCTCTTTACCAGCATGCCTCATAGCTTCATGATACTGATCCAGTTCAGCTCCATAAGCTTCACCAACTTCAAGGCATTCCAGAAGCATTTCAGCCTGCAACACAGTTAATAACACATTTCACATTTTAGATGTTTTAGTTCCAATTGAATTGATGGGTAATTAAATATGCTACAATATATTGAACCCATGTCTCACCGCTTTTTCACTTCCAACAGTCTTTTTTGAAGGTAAATGTAGAGCACTTTGACCTTCAACGGCTGTTTCTTCAGACTGATCAACTTCAGCATTTTCTTCTTCCTCACGTTCTTGTTCTCTCTCATCCTCTAAAACAAGGGGCTCTTCAGTGCGTGTAAACATTCTTAATACTCTATCTGAGCCACAGCTAATAACATGTTGACCATTGTCGCTAACTGACAAATTCCATGCTTCACCATGATGAGCCTTGATTTGAGGAAAACATAAAATAATGGTACATCATAGAATCATAGATTTCATTTGCAAAATTTCAAAAAGTTGGGTAAAAAACAATTAAGCTTTTAAAACATATACCTGCAAGGTAAGAATTCTGTCAAAAGTATCTGCATCCCACTGCTTTACACGTCCGTCTTTACCACATGAGAAAAATTGATGAGTATCATGAACAAATTGTATTCCAGTCACAGAGTTGTCATGGGCAAATAAAGAGCGATGGCAGTCACCAAAGTCAAGACCCCAAATTTTTATATTACGATCAGCACTGCCAGTTGCAATTAATGTAGAATCTGATGATATGTCCATGCAAGTTACAGGCAGTTTGTGTCCATAAAGAGACAGGAAGAACTGCAAAATAAGAAAATAAGCTGGGTAAGTGTACATGGATTAGAAAAATTAAAATACTGCTGAAATAGCACGGCTTTGACCTTACCTTCAATGTGTCCAGATAAAAAACTTTAACAGTGGAATCCAGTAAAGCAACAGCAATTAATCTACTGTTTGGGCTGATTCTTACGCATAGAACACATTCCTCCAGCTTAAGAGACCGTGTGTGGAGGACTGACAGCACTTTTGCTTTAGATTCTGGGCTCTGAATAAGTTCAAATTGCCAAAATTTGACAGTGCAGTCTCCTCCACCAGTAACACACCCACGCTGCAAACAATTGAAAAAATTTGCTACTCTCCAAAAGAACTATTTTTGCTAAGTAGCAAGGGGGTTTACACCGAGTTGATAAAGATTTTAATAATACAAACCTTGTCTGGCAGAAGAGATATTGACCACAACTCTTTAGAGTGAGCTTCCACCTCCTCTAAAATGTCTCCTGCAGCAATATCAACTATGAGCATTTTTCCATTCTTCAGACCAACAAGAACATGTCTATCTCCAGGAACAAAGCATACTGAGAGAATGTAGTCTGTTCTGATAGTGCGCAAACATGTCAAGGATGGTCTAAAACATGAAAATTGAAAAAAAGAAAGAAAAGAAAAGAAATTAAAAGAAGTTGACAGTAGTGCCTCCAACCGGGCTTACTGGTGGGGGCTCCTTCACTTTAGCAAGGTAAATGGACCAGTCCGCATGAGCCCACAAGGCTTTTTCAAACCTAAAATTTGGATAGGCATTTCAATGAAACTGCATTTTGGCCTCGCCAGATCTTACCAATGGAAACCGTTCTTAAGATCTGTCAAGGCAAAAATGCAATTTAATTGGAATTTAAACCCAAATTTTAGACTTGCGGGCTCGTGCGCGCTGGTTTACTTAGAGTTGAAGCGAATAAGCCTGCAGGAGGAAGCATGTTTGGAGGCACTGGTTGACAGAAAACTATATTTTTTATTTTTTATTTTAATGGGGGCCAAATTAATTTTTAAACATAACTATAATATTATTTACCTGTTCCAAACTTTCAAAGCTTCAGCACTGCCTGAAACAATAGCTAAACTGTCAGAACTGAAAGCTACACTCCTCACTTCTGAATGATGTCCCTGATATTCTATAACTCTCAGACTTTGAGGCTGTGTTCCTTTCACAGATAAGCTTAAGGTGTGAAGCTCCATCCTGTTATTATTTAGCGCACTAGCAATCTATAACAAATATAAGAACAAAAATATAACACTTACTAAGCCTGAAAATAATAACAGAAAGATTGAGTGAAATTGTACCCGCAATTCCTGCCCACGGCCCACAACAAGGGAAGTTGATTTAACTTTGCCTCCATATTTCACAACAGGGAGTCGAATGATTTCATCTCGTAATGTTGGTAAAGAATTTTCATCTTGATCCGTAATTTTTGCATTTATGTCATTAGATTCTGAGTCACTGAAAACAATAATTCTGATATGTTTCCCAGCAAATAGAAAGGAGCCTTAAGTATTTAATACACTTGCGTGCATTTCCACAGTCTGATAAGGCAGTAGCAGTACACCATTGACTCACGCTAGTTCCTTTTTCCGTTGTTTCCTTAATCGTTTCTTCATTTTCAATTTGGCTTCCTCATCAGACTTTACTTCAAACATTTCTAAATTGTTATCAGCTCCGAAACATCCTAAAACTACACCATTTCTATCAGTTGTAAGGCCAATAACACGGCCAGTGCCAGCTCTCAAGATGGACCCTGCTTTAGTGCATGTGATGGGTGACTGCAATCAAATACAAAAGCTAATAATACAAGGATAGAACTTGGATCAACATCCCTATGCATTCAAACAGATTCTACCAACCACAACATCAGACTGCATTTCATCACCAATGATATCTCCTGGAATATCCTCTACAGCCACAGGTCTGTCTGATTTATTTTGGGAATCTTGAATTTCCCACATGCGAAGCTCACTGTCATTGCTGCCAGTCACAAGGTACTTGCCATTTTTTACTAGAGCCAAACCCCAAACCTTAGAAAAGTCAAAAAATGAAAATAATACGGAGACTTTACGATGTACTGCCAATTAATCATTCATAACAAGACAATTGCATACTTCTGTTCGATGTCCAACAAGAGTTTTAAAACAGTGCGTAGTATCAAGGTCCCAAAATTTAACAAATGTATCCTTTGAAGAAGACACAAGAATATTCCGATCATTTAGAAATGCTACTTGAGTGACAATCCCTTTGTGACCTGATAATCGATGCAGACCACGCTCAGCTACCACATCCCATATAATTATTTCAGTGTCCTAGAATGTAAAAGAATAACATGAGCTGAAAGATGTCTAAGGTACCAATAAGTATATGAGAAATAAAAAACAGAAAACAGCGACTTACTTTGGATCCGGAGGCAAGACGATGACCAAGTTCATCATATGCTAAACAAGTTATAGCAGATCGATGTCCAGAAAATGTAGCCACCAAGTCAGTGGATCCAAGCTCAAAAACTTTAATTGCTCCATCTGCATAGCCAACAGACAAGAACTGTTTGTCGGGACTTGCTGCCAAATATGTGACTTCATGTTTCTCACCAGTTATAATGAGTGCCTAGAAATGTAAGAGTAAGGAGATTGAATATGTTGCATTCATCAAAACCTTCAAATCAGAATGGAAAACCATAAATTTTAACCTTTTCACCAAGGCGAAGATCCCAAACTATGACATCCTCACAACCACCTACTGCTACAAATCGCCCTTCTTGCCCTTGCAATACAACAAATACTGCATTGCAAGACGGACTAGCTATGATGTTAAAATTGGCCGATGAAGCATAACGCAGGTACTGTTTAGTGAGACCCATTTTAACCATTTTTATGAAGGGGAGATGAAATTATTTAATTTACAGAATACGAAATGGGCTATCGTCAACAGAATATCCGGGAGCAACACACGTGTTGCGAAACAACAACTTCTTCAGACAGAACAAAGATGAAAATGTACAATGAGGTTCTGTAAAATAAGAACAATTCTAACTTAGAGCTGTAAAAATGAAATTTTAAAGCTGTCACAAAGATATTGGCAATTTTCGCAGTTAAGGTCGCAATCAAAACAAACAAAGATCACCTACGGTCAAGAAAACTTAACCTCTTGGCTCCCGTGTTGCTGTCGAATCGAATGTTATGCTCTGGGCAGGAACCATTGTATGACGTCATCATCAGAAGTAGGGTTAGGTTAAACCATTCTCAAAAGTGTTGACACTTGACTTGACACCTATGCAAGCAAATTGCTACGCGATAACAACATTGTGTATTTGGCACAACAAAATAAGTGATGTTGGAGAATACTGCGACTATCACGGACTTTTAAGGTAATAACTCTTTTCCATACGAAAAGATTATTGGGTTCTTTGTAATCATCAACGATTTGTTTATTGTGGTATCATGTTACAGGTTCTTTCAAATTCGAAGTGTTCAAATCATTCCCTTATTAATAGTGTTGTGAAATCTTTAAAGAAAAAATGATTGAAGCCGTAGCCTCCTTACTTACTGGACCAGTTTATTTGTCTGGAGAAAATGTTGAATGTAGCATAACTTTCACCAATCCTCCAGTCCCACAACACAAAACATCTCAAAGTTATAGGTAAGTAATTCATAGCATTATCTTACCACTGAAAATATCTCGCATATTTCCAATTCATTTTCTCATTGGTTAATGTTGACACATATCAATCTGTTTATATACAGTGATGGGTTAGAAAGCCTCGCATGGGCAAGTGCTCAGATTCACTGCCAGTGTTCAACAAATGGCAAAGTTACACATCCCAAAACGAACACTTTGGCTGCCGAAGAATTGTCCATTACTAATAAGGGTGTGTATTCAGCCCTTGTATTGTAAAATTATCAATTATTTTCTTATTGCCGTTTTTATGTTTGTTTTTGGTTCTAATTTTTAGATACATCATTTGCACCATGCAGAGGAGAAAATGGTCACGTTGTGCTGTCTACCAAACCCAAAATTTTATTTTGTGATTTGAGGCTTGCCCCAGGAGAAAGCAGGACCTGTGAGTATCTAATGAATTGGATAAGATGGTAGTAGTGACTATTTTGATTATTTTTTTCAATTATTTCACTTTTCAGATGTTTATCGTGAAATTCTTCCAAGTGAGGCCCCACCTTCATATAGGGGTCAAGCTGTGAAATACTCATACAAAATAACTGTAGGGATGCAGAGAGTAAACTCTCCAATAAAATTATTGAGAGTTCCATTTCGGGTTCTAGTAGTCAACGGTTAGCCAGCTAAAACTTCCTCCATGTTGTCTGCATTTGCTTTAAACAAATCCCCTCATAAATAAATTGTACTTTGGCTGTTAATTGTAGGTCTTCCTGATATCAGTGTCTGTGGGGACAGTGAGGATTTAGCACCAAGCAACCCATTTTTAGAGACTGAGGAGAAAGAAACTCCTCTTGATATTGCTCTTCAAGTTTTGCAGGTGATCCTCAAAACAAATTATAGATTAATCGCTGTATCACCAACCAGTTGTGTAATTAGTAATTACATCTTATATTTCCAGAACATCACAGCACGAAGAACTCCTAACTTTTACAACATAACAAATCAAAGAGGGAAAGTTGTTCGATTTTGTATCTTCAAAAACTCTTATAAACTTGGGGAGGATATAGTGGGAACCTTTGACTTCTCAGCCACAACTGTACCCTGTGTGCAGGTATCTATACCATGCTTAGCATTCGTTGTTCAGTGCATATTTGTTTGCTTTCATTTTAACTTTAAAACTTTTTACTCCAAGTTTTCAGTTACTCTTCAAAGTGAAGAAGAAATTGCAGCTGACAGCCGTCGCTGGGCAAAACAGGCCTCGGCTGTTGTGTCATACAGCAAGCATCATGAAGTTTGTTTGAATTTAAAATACTCCCAACTGATTTTACCTATCCCACTTCACATAACTCCAGCTTTTACAACTCCATTAGGTATGTTATTCATTTTTTGTTGATGATTCATCTCAAGGACATCATTAACTTCCTTCATGATGATAAATAATCTCTGTTTATATTTCAGTAACTTTAAAGTGGCGTCTTCACTTTGAGTTTGTCACAACTACAACAGCTCTTAGCCAGCAGGTGAGCAGTGACATTAAAAGCAACATGTGGCAAGGCCCAGGTTCATTAGATATTGAAACAATGGTTTGGAATCTTCCTGTTAATATATACCCTACAACACCATCACAAGTTGCTCAAGGCTTACAAGCCCAAACAAAGCATACTATTAGCATCTAATTAGGACAGAGACTTTGTAACTTCAACCTGTTATATTATGTCTAAATAAGAGGGATATGTTTTGTTTTATTATATATTTTATTATCAACTCAATTTAGGAAATTATAAATATTCAACTTGTTACAACATGTGTATAAAAACTCTGACAATAACATTACATAACTTCTATCTAGGTAAATGTATTGGTAAATCACTACCTACCTAAGTAATCTAAAATAGATGTTGTCTCTGAGCAAGATCAGTTCAAATAAAATACTTCTGATTTACAATTATGGTATTGCTTCATGACACTGAATGGAATCAGAAACTCTGCTCTCTGATGTGTAGAATGCATTATTCTACACAGACATTAGCAGGCTAATGTTAACATTATTCTGCCAAATTTAGCGTAGATCAAGTAATGTTCACTTAAACCTGAGCATGCTGGCTAATGCCAGTAAGAGTTGGTGGGATGGCCGCATGTAAAGGTAAAAAGTTTAACATTTGCAAAGATGGCTTACCACAGAAGCTGATAAGAAGACATTGGCCATGACATCATGCATGACAGGTGATACTTTGTGATTTCCTTGCACATACAATTCTTGCATATTTCATAAGTACTTTGAGACAGATGTATAAACTGAAAGGCCCTCTGAAGAAATCAGCTATAATCAAATAGTTATCACTTAGTCAGGTATATCATAGTCACACTAAAATGGTTTTCAAAGTGAGAGAAAAGGAGCCTTAAAAAAACTGTCCTAAAACTCTGAAAGCAGTACAGCCAGTTGGAATCCTTGGTCCTGTGGAACCTGTATAAGTTTATTGTCTTGTCTCATTACCTATATTGATCCTAGGATGAGTTGTTTGTTATATTGCTACTGTGGAACAATTGAAGAGCCGACCACTGCTGGTTATGCAAAAGTATATGAGGACGCTTGGAGCGCATGTAACTAACAGCCTCTTGTGGAGTCCATCTGTTTTTCTGTTGGAAGAAACAAATACAGTCAGATTAAAATTCGATTGAAGAGGAAGTTGGCAGTACAGTTCATGAACTGAAAACAACGAACCATCATCAAGTAGCAACCAACAAGTGTTGCGCTTCTTGTTCTTCCTGCTTTACAATGCACATAGACACTGCCTTTATTCTCACCCGTATGGAATTTATTTATGAATGCAACACCTTTTAAAAGTTTTTCTTGACATGGTGTTTCAAATATATCTACTGTGCTTAGCTGTAAAAAATCAACGCCATACTGCTTCCATGCCTGAAAAATAATAGTTTAACCATTATTAGTGGACCTGATTAAGCTTCCAAAAACAAGTGCCAGTAATAATAATCAATTGAATATGTCTGGATATAATAAAAATTCGTGATGGTGTCAAGAACTGACATACCTCTGCATCATTAGAAAACAGACGAAGCTCATAGTCTTCATTCATGGATATGACAGCTTTGATGTTTTCAGTTTTTACAAGCTGAAATGAAAAGATTGATACACTATTAGTTTCCTTGATTTGATACCGCACTCGAATTGGTTAAAAATTGGAAATAAAAGTCTTAAGCAGCCCTGTAACCTACAATACAATGTGATCAATGTGGGTGTTCTCTTACCGATTCGGCGTCCTTGGCGAAAGGTAAAGCACCCAAAACTACAGTTTCGTCGATTCGGTCATACCACCTTCGACTGGAAACCTTCTCCATGACCACATTGTAAAACAAAGTTGGATAAAACGTTATTCGGGCGAACATTGTGACAAGACATACGCCAGGTGTTTACTTTCACCGACCGAGCAGCAGACGGATTTCTCCTGCTAGAAAGCTACAGGATAGCCAACTCCTCGGTACTTAAATCTGGTCTGCTGTCAGTTGGTAACTATGAGTGTTGACGTTTGACACTCACATCACTTACCAAACCCACACAATATGCCTGTTTTTACTCTAAACATTTAATGATTTGACAAACGAATGCCTTAAAAGTCAATGAAAATGTCATCAAACCCTGCAGACCCGTGGAGAACTATTGAACAGGACGGTAAAGTACAACTTTCTAATGTTTACTATCTATCGCCTAACCTATAGTTTGTTATTATCTTAATTTTTTTGTGAAGTCCTCTTTATTTACCAACAACAATAGTTTAAGTAAAATTGTCTTCTCTCATTGCAATAACAGTAAGCAAAACGAAGCCTAAATACAGCCTCTACCCAAATTGTAGTTTTGTGACATTATTCTTGAATGAAGATTATTCATATATCTCTTTTAAGCGTAGTTTGGTTGTGAGCGCAACAGACAATGCACGATATTTGTATACTCCAAATAATTTCTTTTGTTTTATTTCAGAATTTTACAGACTTTTTATCATAGATGAAGAGAAACAGAATTTAACTAAAAGCGCTGTATCACACACTTTGGCTGTGTCCGAACAACTTTCAAAGCTGACTGAAGGTAACATCGATTATTTAACTCAACCCTCTCACTGACGAATTCCAAAGCGATAATAGCTTCACTTATTTACTTGGTTTGGAACTGACATAATATTACTTTTCCTTTAGGTATAACCATACTAGATAGTGAACTTCATAAGCAAGTATTTGAAAATCATGAAGACCTTGTTTCTCAAGCAACTTGGGTGGAAAGGCTCCAGTCATTGTTGGCAGGAATGCATACACAGACTCAGGTAATTTTGAATAGTTTTATTACCAACTATTTGTTCTTTTAAGAAGTTTACACATGGATGGGTTAGTATTCGTAAGAGCACCTGATTATGTAATTTTTAATTATTGAGTTTGGGTTGTCCAATTTCCAAACCAGTGTGTTTTGTCTGGAGTCGAGAGGCTAAGAGCTCGAATAATGGAGCCATTTTCAAGGATGGAATCTCACACCTTGGTGCTCTCACGCCTCCATGAAACTTCAGATCTCTTAAGGCGGATTGCTCGCCTTCAACAGCTCTCGAAAAAACTTCAAAACTGCCCTGATCATGTAAAAGCTGCAGCACTTCTTAATGAAATAGGTGAGTAAATTCCACCTATCTCAAGACCAGCCCAGATGGTACTGGGGACGCCCCGTTTGTCCGACATGTTATTTGTCCGACAGCCGCATTTAAGTAAATAAATTAAATAAATAAAGTATTACAACAACAGGGAAAGGGCTCGTTTCACTTGTCCGACAGGTGGAGTTGCGTTTCAAACTTGAATAGATACTAGAAAAAGTAGTTTCTGCAGTAGGGTTCAGTTTCTGGAACTACAATAATAAGTTGTAACAGTAAGTAGGAGTTATTGCAATAACTTAGAGTTATTCAAATATCTTTCGCTGGCGCGCCCGGCACCGTATTCGGGAGATCTTTCGGCTATACTCGGCTCAGCGCTTGGGCCTAAGGCCTGGCCGTGGCTCGGCCGCCCGGGAACAACGCCGGACGCGCCAGCGAAAGTTATTTGAAAAACTTCGAGTTATTGTAATAACTCCTACTTACTGTAACAACTTATTATAGTTCCAGATACTGAACCCTACCGTAGCAACTATTTGTTCTAGTATTTTTAGCGCTATTAAAGTTTAAAAAGCAACTCCGGCTGTCGGACAAGTGAAACGAGCCCTTTCCCTGCTGTTGTAATACCTCACTTATTTAATTTATTTGCTTAGTTACGACTGTCGGACAAATAACTTGTCGGACAAACGTGGCATTCTCATGGTACTTAACCTTCTTTTTAATAATCTGATTGTTATTTCTAGATCAACTTTCTGAAGATGTAGATCTATCTGGCCTGGAAATTTTAGAATCAGATCAAGCATTAGTTCAAAAACATCGTTCAACCATTCACAAACAAGCTCAATCCATGCTTAAAGATGGTTTGGAAACCCTAAATCATCAAAAAGTTAGTTTCATTTGCATACACAGAGATTATTTTGTTAATTCAGGCCACTGCTTGTATTTCAATCTAATGCCTCTTTCAGGTTACCACTGCTGTTATGGTATTTAGCAATCTTGGAATATTGAATGCAGAGCTCAACAGAATTTTGGATACATCTGTATCTACTCTCTCCAGTGCTATTTCAGAGGCATTAGATATACAGGTTCTTACTCAGGCTCCTGTGTCAAATGACTCCACCAAAAGTAGAGGTAATATTTTTAAAATTTTGTTTTGGGCCCCTTATTTGTTTAGGGTGATATCAAAATGAAGGACAATTTTGTTGTTGTTTTGCATTTGTTTTATTACTTAAATTGAAGGTAGATTGCTTTTTTCGTATGGCTTCCCAAAGTGCCTCTCCAAGAAAGACTGCAAGAAATACCGAAAAATGGCCAGGAGGCTGCTTTGTGGCTCTAAGTGCATCCTTACTATTAACTGGGCCAATAAAAATTCCAGAAAATAATTCTTAAAAGTTGGAAATAAAAATTATCTGCCACATCTTTTTCATTAATTAAATATCTGCTATTACCTTTATTTTATTGATGTAAATCTTTTTATTGAACCTTGTAAATTATCTCTTAGTCACTAGAATAAGCATAAAACCCTGTGTTGCCTTGTTACCAAAGATGCCCTCATTTTAATCAAAATTTTTCTCAACAGGCACACCAGGAAGAGTGGTTATGCCATCCCTAGGTAACATTTCATCTTTTAGATCAAAACTATGGTCTGCCCTTGAAAATCTTTTTGAAATTTCCATTTACACTCAGTGCAGCCAGGTAACAGTTGTTTTCAGGAATTATTTTTTGATGTGATGTGTGTCATTCCTACCTTCACTAATCCAGTAAAATATTTCCCCCTTATTTTCCAGATTGAAGTTTTGCGAGCAGTACTTCATAACCAAACCAATGAACTTGGGTGCAGAATTCAAGTGCCCGATGAAAAGAAAAGCATGACTGATACCTTTTGGACCAGGGTTCTGAAACTTTTATCCCAAGAACTTGCCTCAAGTGCTCAGAGTAAGTTATTTTATATCACTGTTCTTGTAATTTAAGTTACTCATTCAATATGTATGTATCAATGACTTAAAAATAGTGAAAATATTACTTGTGATTGGTTTGGAAATACTGTACATATACTGTATTACTGATTTACATTGCAGATTCTACATACATGAAGCAAGCTCTTGAGGCTGAATTTCCAAAGTTGTTGCGTCTGTATGTGGATCTCAGAAAAAGACTCATAAATGCTCACAACAAGACTGTTGTTGAAACCAGTTTAAGTGATTTATCACCAGATAGCTCCAAACAACCATACCAATTAGAGTGAGAATTTTCATTTAATATGTTTTTGTTTTGATTGATTTGGATGGTTCCATTTCATTATTTGTGTTTTGTATTTTTTAGGCGTGAACTTATTGCTCCATTTGAAAATGCATATCTTTCACGATCTGTCTCAAGATTGCTAGATCCTGTCAATTTAATGTTTTCTGAAACTAAAGCACCCACGCATGAAAATGTTGATGGACTTGTCAGAACCATTACAAGGTTGGATTACTCATACTTGATTCTGTTTTGTACATCCTAACTTTTAACGTGAAGTTCAACAACTCATTTTTCTAATGTTATTTGTTTTTTTCTTTTTTAGTGAATTGAGTGTCTCTTTGGTTGATGAAGCCTTAAGTAAAACTGTCTCTAAAAATATAAGCAAAGCTGTACACCTGTTCTGTATTAAATGTGAGCAACTGGTTGCAACTGGGGGTGATGCAACTCAAGTTATAGGTAAGAACATGATCTGTCTATCTTATTGCTCATTACTAGATGAAAGTTTTGTTTCAATACACTTCTTTGCTCTCAGATATACCAAGCCAGGCCCAGACCTTGAATGCCGCTGCTGCAAATATTCTGCACTATCTAGCTGGACAGCTGGAGCGAGTTTTGAATAATATGGGAGTAACTCTTGCAGCAGGACCTGCAGCTATTGTGAGAGAATCCCTTGGTGGTATTGAAAAATTAGTGACCACCCAAGTTTTAACTCCCCTTTTAACATCAGTTGGGGATGCAATTGAAGCAATTCTTTTAACTATGCATGACGAAGATTATGCTGCAGATGAGGGTGCCAGTACAAACAGTTTGTATATGAAAGAACTTCACACTTTCATTGGAAGGGCTATAAATTTGTATCTTTCACCATTTGATGACCAGACCCTTGTGGTTAAGTGGTGAGTGAAATATTTCTAAATGCTACATTATATATTTTTAATAAAAGATGTATTGTCACTAATTCTGTTCCTGTATCTTATAGTTCAGTTTCTGTGGCTACTCGCTGTATAGACCTTTTCTTACGTTTGGCTTCCCTTATTCGACCACTGGGAAAAGTTGGTGTGGCAAAATTATCATCAGACTTTGAAAAGGTTGTTGTAAACATATAACTACTTCTACGTAGGTAGTTTTTACTGTTTTTACTTTTTACCACGTTATCTAAATTTTAAAAAATTATTTTCTTATAGTTGGAATTAGCATTACAACCTCTAGCAGGTCGGCAACCCCCCGCTGACTTGGGTTGGGGAAAACATTTGAGAACATTGCGTTCATTAAGAACCCTTATTGGTCTTCCTGCTATTGAAGTGGCTACCAGTCCTGCAGTTGGAACTGCACTTCCTCATAGTCTTGTCTTAACAGCCCTGTTCGCTCAGGCACCCTCTGACCTATTGTCCCCACATCAGGTTTGTTATAATTGAACATTGGAAGTCAAATATAATTTACTTATGACCTAAGATAATTTCTTTCCTATTTGTTTGTCTATATTTTTTAATTTTTAATGTTGCAGAGTGCTGGATGGTCTATTAGCCGTCTATCTCAGTGGCTTGATTCCCACCCGGCAGAGCGAGATCGCCTCCAGCTTGTTGGAGGATGTCTTCAACGTTACCAGCAGGCAGTACGTCAATCTGGCCAGGCAGAATTCCATCCTGTTTATCCAATAATGGTTTCTTTATTGGAAGCTGGAATGGCGCTGTGCTCCTCCTAATGTAAGTCAACTAGACCCATTACTTTCTTAGCTGTGCTGCACCAATAAAATTGTTCTGTTGTGTCATGTTACCACATGTTCCAATCTATCCAAATCTTTCAAATATATTTTAGAACAAAAGAAATAACTAATATAGTCATTCTTTTGAACACATAGAGTCCCTCACAGCATCAAATATGATCACATTTTGATAGGAAATGTGGGTCTCAACATGCAACATGAAATTGTGAGCGGTCGGTGAGAGGCTTGGATGCAATGCATAAAAGAATTATCAAAAAACATTTTCAACATTTTTGTTTTTATGACTTTACTCATCTGCAATTTTCTTCTGGGCACTATGGGTACCAAAATCAGTTTTCCTTAGGAGAATAGAATAGTGATATAGAAGAAAAATATTACTTCTTTATCTTTGTTAGATCTTAAACACTCACAACCAACAAAATATATATGGGTGCCAGTACAAACAGTTTGTATATGAAAGAACTTCACACTTTCATTGGAAGGGCTATAAATTTGTATCTTTCACCATTTGATGACCAGACCC